AAGCTTATGCTCTAATAAATTTGTTAGTCTCTAAGGGGCCACAGGTCCTCCTGTTCTTCTTTTTATGTACAGAATAGTTTTTTGCCTTTTGTTTCATAATACATTTTATTTATATAACCCTTTTGCTGATTTTTAAAGTGTTACATAAACAGGACAGGTGAAATATTATCATGTAAAGCAACCATAAACACATGAAAAGACCTAGGTTTACAATTTATGGTTAAAACTTTACTGTCTACACAATATATATAGACATAAAATGTAAAAACTTAAATATCTTAGAAACAGTAGCCAATCAGTTGTTTTAATTGTCATATTTTAATTCAGCACATCAAAATACATAATAAATAGCACATTTTATCTCCGAAGCAGACGACTTCTCAAAAATTGTAGACCAGTGTTAGTAATTCATTGTATGTAGGTCATGAGACAGCAATCAAGAGTGAACAACTTTTAGCTAATATCAACCATGGCTAGAATTTAGCTACTGAGCACTTGTAGTGATAAATGGTTTTATAGCACATTTCTTATTTCCAGTCCTCCCCATTCCCTAAAAGGCTATGCTTATTTTTAGTGTAAAACATACACATTAACCCAAACCACCACCAACAAAAATAGTGAAATATTTTCTAGAAGAAAACAGCTAGGTCACTGCATCCTTAGTAACTATTACTAATTATTACCAAATTATATAGATTTTAACTATGAATTTAGTCTTTTTTTAAAAAAGTAGTGCACATACTTAGGTAACATTAGATAGGCAGGGAAATATTTTAAAGAAATATGAACATCACTACTCTGTTAATTGTATCAGGACTAAAAATCACATAATCTGATTATTTATTTGAAACAAGATCTGTTTATATGTATTTTTTAGTAATGCCGGTCTTAAATTTTTTTTATTCTCTTTTCAGCTAATGAATTTGTTTTGCATACTGCCAGATTTATTACAAGAATTTATCCCAAAGGGACTAGAGCAACCTCTTCTAATTATAATCCTCAAGAATTCTGGAATGTAGGATGCCAGATGGGTATGTGCTATCATCCAGTGTGTGCTATTTTAATGTCCCACACAGACTCTTTGGATATAAGCTTTTGAAAATTGTTTGCTGAATTATTGCATTTCACATAATATTTAGGTAGATATTTTCTCCATAATCCTAAGTATTACTACATGAGTTTTCCTGCTCTCACCATTATGTTAAAGTCAATATACAATGGTGGCCTCATCTCCCATTATTAAGGACTTAGGACATATATTGGTCTGACTACAGTAATACTTTTTCAATTAATTTATCTTAATGGCTATTATCTCACTCCAAACATCCCATAATTATTGCAATTGTAATATAGCAATAGATTTTTAACTCGCCTTTTAGACTGCTATGCCATTTTTGATGACTGCTAGTGGATACTAAAAACAATACAGTCTGTACTCCTCCTCGCATCAGACCAGAAATTCAATGTTTATAGTACTCTCTGCCCCAGTTCCTAAAGTTAAAGAATCACTTACAAATAAAAAATCCTATACAAAACTGCAGCAAAAACTTGGATATAAACAGAATTCAGAAGTTAATTAGAAAATTTAAAATGCTATACCTCCTTTCTGGTCAAGTGTCTTTATTGTTTTAAATTTGGGATATATTTTTAATCAATATAGCTCAGTTACTTCTCTGAGATTGTCTGAGATTTACTCCCTGCCTTCTGGGGCTAAGATTATGTTAACTATGTTACCTCAGCCCTTGAAAAAAGAGTGAGTGTACTGTATAATAAACACAGTACTCAGAACCAGGATAATTTTGAATATTCATTTTAAAAAATAGAATGAATTATATCCTTACACATGTTATGTTCATTAAACCTCAGAACTTCCATGTCAGATTGTCCGCTGTGACCAAACTATGTTTGGTGCAGCTGAGGGAGGAGAAAAGTTAAAAGGTAACATTAGCCATTTTGCCAACTTCCTGATCCTGAGACTTGCTGAGGTCTGTCCTTATTCTCAGCGTAACTGATAAGAGGCTCAAAACTATTTTAAATTACACTCTACTGCTCCACTCCCCAAGGGCAGCTGAGAATTGCTGGAATGCAGAGGTACTTCAGCCATACCTGCCTTCTCCTGAGAATGGCCTTTAACCCAGTCCCTGGAAGAGCTAGCTAAATAAATAATTAAGTAGTCACTGGAGCAAGAGGACTGTACCCAGGGTTTCCTACCTCATAGTGGGTGCCCTAACCACCAGGTTAAAGAGTCATTCATTATCTTTCTCGCTCTGTGACTATTTAATTATTTATACCAATGGTTCCCGACCTTTTCTCTGCCACAGCACACCTTGAGCTCCAGGGACTCTTTCCCCCACCCCCAGTTGGCGGCTGAAGGAGGGAAGGGAAGGGGCAGAGGAGCCGAGCTATTGCTCAAGCAGGATGGGGGCGGGGAGGAGAGGGAGATTGAGCTCTGATTGGTTGCTCCACCCCTGGAAGAGGCAGGGTAGTGAGGCAGATGGCCAATCAGAAGGCAGCTTTCTCCCCCTTGTTCTCACATGTACTTTTTCAAAAAATTCTGAAGCTCACCTATTCAGGCCTGACAGCCCACCAATTGGGAAACACTGATTTATACAAAGTAGAACAGCTTCAACAGGACTGATTGAGGGAGCCCCAATCACAATATCCCATAGCTCAGTGGTTAGAGCACCCACCTGAGAGGTAGGAGACCCTATTCAAATCCTCTCTCCCCCGCAGGTGGTGGGGAGAAATGAATACAGGTCTCCCACATCCCAGATGAGTGAACTAGCCTAAAAGTTAAAAGGGGGGAACCTCCTCTTCCTTCTGCTGTTTTGTATGGAGTTAGGCAGGTGCTTTTTCACCTAAACTGCCTGACTTCAGGAGATGGGTTCTGGCTGTGGATCACAAACAAAGGTAGGTGACTCCCCAGTGCCCAGGCTTAAGCATCTAATTCTTTAGATGGCAGGCCTTTGGGCCACACCCCTCTTGTCGGCATCTGCCATTGGCTAGCATAGTCAGCTTCCCACCTAATGTGCTGGATCACATTCTAAGATGCCTGTATCCCTCCCCAATCATTGGATAGGGAGCTTAGGCACTTAACTCAGGCTTTGTGCATCACATTGTTGTTTCACTGATTTTCTAGGTGCATGAAAGTGAGGCATTGTGTCACTCTGTTGTGATGCCTAAGGGTATGTCTTCACCCGTATTGGCGGGTAGCAATCGATTTATCTGGGATCGATATATCGCGTCTCGTTAAGACATGATATATCGATCCCCGAACGCGCTCACCGTTGACTCCGGAACTCCACCAGAGCGAGCGGCGGTAGCGCAGTCGACGGGGGAGCCGTGGCCGTCGATCCCGCGCCGTGTGGATCCCAGGTTATTCGATCCAAGATACTTCGACTTCAGCTATGCTATTCACGTAGCTGAAGTTGCGTATCTTGGATCGATCCCCCCCCCCAGTGTAGACCAGCCCCAAGTCACTTTGTGGATCTGGGCCATCAGGTGTATTTCCAACTGTTTTGTGGTGCAAACTGTTTTGTGGAATGAGGTTGAGGATCTTCTAATCTCTTATGTTTAACTTGCTTATTTTGAGTATAAAGATGGTTTTTCCCTCAACATGAACGTTTTGATAATTTTATCATTTTCTCCTCCACTCAAATTAGTTTCTAATTTGAAATAGTTACAGGTAAACATGACTTTTCCACTTACTATGCTTTGGAGGGACTCTCAATTGTTAACAATTTCCCCCTTTTTTAAATGGTTTTGTTAACTCTAGTTTCTCTATTTTTTCTCTTTTTTGGGTGTTTAAAAAACACCCAGTAATAAAATCATTTTCTAAATCACTCTGTTACTTTCTTCAACATTATATAAAAGTGAGAAATTGAGTAAGCCTTCTCACAGATATGTTTTCTCTTATTCTAACTCTGCACTGCTTGCTTTTCCTATATGCTGAGTTCCTTTTGCTGTCTCTAAACTCAGTTTTCAAAGTGCACGCAATTTAAAGAGGCAGTCGCCTTTTCAGAACCAATTTTTAATTTATCTTTTAAACGTCTAATAGTTTGCATTTTCCTCACTTACTGTCTCAGTGTATTATAAATACAGAACTTAAAAAGGAGCATTATGAACAAAGCCTCAGTTGTGATAGATCCCTATTCCTGGTGCTTGGTCCCTGAACGCAACCAAGACAGGAATGTCTCAAGCTTAAATTTCTGATTCTGCAGTGTGCCACTCTTGAGACATGCATACTATTAATTCCAAAAGTTTGGAGCGATCTAGAAAGTAGTGGCTGTTGGGATTGCTTATATTCCTCCACACAGCTCTGCCTGGTTGCCAATAAAAGGACTCACAGCCCCCAAATCCCTTAGTACCATTTTTGTTGCCACAGATTGTGAGGCTTGGAAACATTTGCCACTCTTCTCCATTGCTGCTTTGGCTGTTTGTTTATGTTTTATATAAGTTTTGTTAGTTAGGTTTGACGTTAATAGTAAAGGTAACAATTGACACACACATATATATTTAACATTAGTCTACTTGTTTTTGGTCCGTGCCATCATATAGGCCCCTGTTTATGATATTGATTTTGTCCTCAGATGAATTGTTGCTGAAGGTGCATTGGCGGTGTTACCAGTTCCATCTCAAAGTTGTTTGGTCAGGGTCCATCTCAGTGGTTGGTGCTCATTGGATTCTTGCCACTCTGTTGAGGGTTGATATACCCGAGACTGTAACTGATTGATACACTTCTTGTATAACCTGAATATTCATTACCATTACAGACCAGTTAGTTTATTTCTTAAATAGCTGGTTGAAGGGCATTTGACAAGAAGGTGCTCAGTTTTGCACTGGGTTTATCTCTCAGGTTCATCATGCCTGGCATTCATTGATTTAATTTGCTTCTCATTGAGAAGGCAATTATATCTCAATCAGCACTTTCTGTGGGATAGATCCATGTGTTGGATCTGAACCTCACTCAGCTCTAAAATCTTTCAACCTTTTTAACTTGGCTCTTTGTTCTGGAGATTTTTATTTCTGGGTCATTCCTCTAAAGGCTTGGATCCCAAAGGCTGATACCTTATATATGAAGGCTTTGGGCTCTATAGTAGGGTCCTTGGTAGGCTAGGTGGCCTAGTGGTTAGCACCCACTCAGTTGTGGGGTAGTGATAGGGGGGCCCAGGCCTGCCCACTCCACTGGGCTCTGACCCAGGGCCCTGGGAGAGTCAATAGCATTGACCTCGGGGTTGGAGGTGGACCCTCTGAGTTACCTTCCCTGGGTTGCTTCCTAGCACTGCTCCCTCTGCTTCTAATCCCAGATAAGAAAAAATAAAAAGGAAACTAAACCGCCAGCACCAACTGGGTTCAGCATACAGTCCTGGTATTTCAGGGAGGTGTCTCTAGCCCCTTTTGGCAGCGGCCTGCAGGGTAGGTCTGTGCAACTCTCAGCTTTGTGAGCTGGGTTGCTCCTTTTTCAACCCTGTCTCCAGATGGAGCATGCTCTGCAGGGTTGGACGGGAGGGGCTAGCTGTTCCCAGTATTGGCCTTTAACCCCTTCTGTCCCAATGTGGGGTTTGTATACACCATCACAGGCTCCTTGATAGAAGTATTAAAAATAAAAGGAAGAAGAGGTTGGCTCAGTCCCCTTCATCCTATCACTTGAATCTGCCTTTGAAGAAGCATTGTTAAGTTCAGTAAATATGGGAACAGGTTGATAGTTTTTGTATATGTGGGTTCCAAACCTTTAAGACCAGATACTGATTTAATTAGGTTGATTTCACCAAACATGACTGAATTCCAAGACTCAAATTATCTAAGCTCCATTCAGTAGATCTTCCCCAACTGTCCCTTTTTCTTCCTTGGCTTTACCAGCACTATGGCCTGAGTTTCATCCTGGGAACTCCTATGTACCAAAGGCCTTTGACAAAACTTCCTCTTCAAATGCAGTGTAGGGTTGCCAGGTGCCCGGTTTTTGACTGGAAAATCAGGTCGAAAAGGGGAACTGGCAGGGTCAGATGTACTGACCGGATAGCAAAAGTCTGTT